GCCTACCACGTCGCCGGCACTCGTCCGACGACATGTCCGCCGCGGCGGCCGCTGTCGTTCATGTGACGACCACCACAACGGCGTGGACGCGGCCGACACCGGCCACCGTCGCGCTCGAACCGGCCGCCGGGCGCGCTACTGCTGCTGCTGCTGCTGCTGATGATGATGATGGTGCTGCTGCTGCTGGTGATGGTGGTGCTGCTGGTGGTGGTGGTAGTGGTGGTGGTGGTGCTCGTGTGCCGCGGCGCGAGAGCTCGGGACATCGGTGCTACCGTCGCCGCCGGCGCACGTACAACGCGGCGGCCGCGCGCTATACTTTCTCCTTTGCCGTCGCCGCGGTCACTGTACGCGAACGGGCGCGCAACGACGCGCACCGGACGGGTTATTGTTGTTGTTCAGTGTTTTTTTTTTTTTTTTTTCTTTTTCGTTTTTTATCTTTATTCCTTTCGCGTGCACGCGGTTCGGTTTGTTCTTCGCACCAAACGCGTCTCAAACGGTAACCGGCGACATTGTTCGCGTACGACCGCTGTGAACACCGTCCGGCGGCGGGAACCGGGAACGCTACGAACGCGTCCGAAACCGAAACCGCGAAACGATACGAAACTCGGCGCAGCGAACGGGAACCGGGCCCGCGCGAAAACTACAAGGACCGTTGACGTGCGGCGGAGGGGTCGATCGGGCCCTAGGGGCGAGACGGAAAACGCGGAATGTACGCGGACGCGCGTGCGCCGACGGGAACGGGTTGACCGACGTACGCGTGTGCTCGCGCAACCGGTGTGTCGGCGGTACTGAATGGGCGCGCGCGCGCGCCCGTTTTACTACGCATGTCGGCGGCGGCGGCGGCGGCGAACCAGTTTCACCGGGCGGCGGCGGCATTTTGCGAAATCGGACGGCGATACCGACCGATCGCCGACGACAGCCGCGCCGGCGACGTCCTTGGACGCGGCGAACGGTTCACGGGGAGGTGTCGCCGACGGTATTATATTTTCATCATTACCATTGTTATTGCCGTACCGCCGCGCGCGCGCCCGTAATCGCTATCGGCGCACGGCGCGCGGGTACGAACAAAAATACCGTATTGTGTACGTTGCGCACAATGGATCGCGCGTTGTGCAAACGTAGACCCCGACGGAATCGTTTTCCTAGATCGATCGATCGCGCTAACCGCCGATCTCGGCCGCAATCAAATCCGTCGTAATCCGGCTTATCGACGTCGCGAAACATTATCGCGCGAACCGCACGACGGTTAGACCGTCGATCCTGCCGTCGCACGCGATCGCGGGTCTGGTCGGCGGCGTACGTGGCGGGCGGGGGGGGGGAGGGGAGGGGAAACGCGCGGTCGAAAATATCTCGTACCCGTTCCGCGCGGCGACGCCGGTCATTGATTGCAATCGCGATTTCTGTGGCCGAGCGGTCTGCTCCTCGACGCGTCCGAATGCTCGGCGTGCGTAAGCGTACGAACGATTGTCGGTACCGCGACAAGCCCTTAGGTTACGGTCCGACGGTACAATATTATCGCGCGCGGCGTACTACCGTCGTCGACGGCCGAATTCGCGTCTAGCAATCGAACGATCGGATTTCCGGTACGCATATTTTTCCCGTTCTCTAGTCGCGCGCCCTACCGCCTATCACCAGCCCGCGCGTTTCCGAAACGCGCGAACGCGCGCGCACGACGTGTTTTCCTACAACGGTCCGTAGCGGTAACCGCCGGACAACTGCCGCGCGACGACGACGACGACGACGACGACGACGTTTCCTTCCTAAACGCGTCAATCGACGTGCGTTCTCGTTCTGCGCGCGTTCGTGGCCGTTCTCGAGTTCGATTTTTTGCGCAACCGTTCCGCGCACTGACGTCGTTTTTTCACGGTCGTCTCGGCCGTGACACGTTCGATTCGGCGTCCGGATCACTGTACTGCTAAAACGCAGCCGGTCACCCGCGGACGCTGTGAAGCATAACCGCGGGTTTTTAAGGCGATCGCACGATTTCCAGGAGCACGTGTAGGCAACCGTACGGACGTTTCCAGTCGCTTCGTCGGTCGTGACGCGCGTCCGACGGATACTTCGCATGGTACTAGAGCGCCCTACAGCCACACCCTCGACCCCGAGAATTTATTATAAAATCGTATCGCGTGAAGTGGGGAGGGGGAGCCATTCGCACTTTTTGCGCCTGAAAACGATTTGAATACGAAATCGGTCTGGTCGCGCATGAGGCGATACAATAAATACTCGTGCACGGGTCACGAGTGCTTTCGTAACTTGTGATAATGGAAGTGAATATCCTGTTCGCATTCAAATGTTTAATCCGAAAAATATACCTAAAATCAGTCAACTAACCGTTGTTATTAAATACAAACCAATTAGCGTGCGTTTACAGCGAGATGTCTGAAACATCATAAACGTTACGAGAATTAACCGCTTTTACTAATTTTTCTTTCATTATATAATCAATAATCGTTTTTTTTTTTTTTTTTTACTATACGAATACCAAATAATTATTCAGCAATTCGTCGGTTGGCATCGGTTTGAGATTAAGATTTTTCAACAAATTAATTATTCGATTACATTTGCAACGTAGACTATTAAATAAACTTTAACGTATTGGGTTCCATCGAATCGTAGTAATTGGCACATTAGTGTAGTTTAAGTGTAATTGATGTCTGATCTCAAAGCCGTAAAAATCGAGAAACCTGCAAAAATCGGTCGTGGTAATTATTAACGACTGCGTTTGAAAAACGATCGAATACCGCACCGCATGAAATAAAACTATAAAACATTAAATTTAATAAACTACAATTGGCATACATGGTCATATTAAATCCCGACAAAAACGTACTCGTGAAAAAAAAGCTAACTTTACGACTCTCTCCGAAAAATGTCAGCCCAGTGACACATTTAATTTTGCTCTTTCTTTAGTTCAAAATTTCGCTTCACTTTTAGCAACAATGCTTTATTTTTAAAAAAAAAAAAAATGTATTACGTTTGTAAACGTACAATAACGTTTTAAAAACAACGGAAATAATATAATATAATGTTAAGAAACCGATTATATGATAATAATGATAACAATAAAAGATAATTTAATCGCATTTCGTTGAATGGGACTGACATAAAGCATTAATTGATCTAAGTATTATAATAAGTAAGTATACTCTATACTTTTTTTATCGCATATCAACCGTCATTTTTAAACATTATAGATGAATAATTATAATATCAATTATAATATTACGTAAAATCAATTCCAATGAAATCCTAACTGTAAAAAAAAAAACGGTCGAGTTCCAGAAACTTCCTCAAAAACGTCGGTCAATCAAAGGAGTGATATTTGTCTTATAGAAGCGGCACTCCCTATTTATTTTTTACCAATCTGGATGCCGTGCCGGATTAATTAATTTACGACGTAGAATAATTCGGATAACATTTAATTATGCACAATCAGTCAGCAACGAAAATGTAAGCTTTGAAGTTCTCGAATTTTTAAAAATGTTTGATACAATATATATGTTGAATATCCTAATATCAAATGCAATGTCCTAGACAATGTATGATTAATCTATATCTCCAAAGCCTACCTTAAGAGAAAGCTGAGAGGTATGTGGATTAAAAAGACCTGGATGAATTGGTTCGTGCCCAAAAATACCAACCGGCATTGCTGGAATTCGGCCGACGCCATGCCATGCGCTAAGATATAAACGAGTAATTTTTACAAAGGCAAATCATGTACCTATTTTGATAGCATAACGTTGTAATAATGCAGTGGATTTTATGTCATCCTTTTCCGTTGATGAAATGTATCAGTGTCCTTAAAATTAAATTTAAATACAATAAAGTTTAACATCGACATAGAACCGACGAATGGCTTCAATAGGTTTCCATAGGCTTACCAGTCAAAATGCAAGACGGAGTAGTCATTTTGCAAATGATTATTTATGATACGACGTGGAAAAGTGCCACGATACTAACAAAAGTGACACGATGATGTACTTCGTGCTGTCGGTTTTGTAGTATAATAAGATACGATCTGGGGAGAATTGCTAAACGTAATCATATTATAATATGTTAAATATTATATTATTATTGCACCCGACTGTATATTATACTTATTTTATCATTTTCTCCGAGTGTAAATGTTTATAGAACTACGAGTTTGGTGAAATGGTATATTTAGGAGCCACTTACGTTTTTCGTTCCTCGGACCAATATTATCAGGTTAGATAAATGTTATAACTTGGTACTTAATCAACATAATTAAAACGGTTTTTTAATAATAAACAGCGATAAATTACTACTAAATCAATACAGATACAATTAAAATAATATTGATATTATATTTTATATCTTTTTATGTGGCTGAATAAATATCAAAGAAAATAATATAAATATTTCAACGCCGAGATGAGGTGGGGACCTTATTAGATGACGTCACTTGTTATCAAATCCGAGCCTTATTATTATTATATGTAAATGTAAAACGAGCGAACATATTATAATGCCTATATCTACTTTACATAGCGCAAGAAATGATCGGGACTCTATCATAGATCGTATTGGAATTAAGATATTACAAGCTTTAAAAACATTTTTATTTCCATTTAAGCTCTGTAATAAATTTCAATGAATACAAAGCTTTTGCTGTTTCGATATTCTATTATAATATTATTAAAACCTATGTGATATCTGCATAACAAAAACTTACCGAATAAAAATTATTTTGCCAGTTAAAAAAAAAATAAAAAAATACAATTAAATACAAAATGAATAATTTACTATGCTCCGAAACACGGGTACTTAAAGTAAATATTTAATAATTCCAACTATTCTAAAAGTACTTAAAAATTAATATTTTTCTAATGGAAAATGGTTTTTACAAATGCACTAATGTTCACATTTTTACTCTGAATAATCTTTCATTCAATAATATTTATACAATATGAATATCAGTTTTGCTTTCATCGCTTTTACATTTCAATATTGACACTCCTATTTAATTAACACACCTATTTCACACTGAATTATTATAAATTTATTATGACATACTCGGATCGTAGTGACGTATGTTCGTTTTAAACTTTGCATTATAAGTGACAATTATAAATGTGCAATATTTCCTAATTGTATTTTTTGAATATCGCAATCATAATAATAATGCATGATGTATTGCGGCAATAAAACTCTTAGCAATAATCCATTCTAGAATTGAATTGGTACTGAATCATTTTAAATGCACACAATGTTAAGCCAGAAAATTGGAGAATTGTACATAAGAAAATGTATAATAAAATGTAAGTGAATAAATAAAAATATAAAGTGTATTGGAAATTATCCAAAGTCAAATCGTTCGGATAGATATAATTGTATAAAAACACACCCCCTATAGATAATTACCGAAATCAATTTAGATATTGTTGAAGTAAAATAAAAAAACTATTTGAAGTTACAATTCTAATTAAATTCGGATGGTAAATCGGTGAGCATCATATAGAAAAATGTATTATGTCAATTTAATTTAAAAATAATTAAAATTATAAAAGTCGTAATGTTTAATTGAGTTTAGGTAGCTTAAAAGTAGTTTTTGTAAATAAACAAAAATAATTTTTTTTTAAATAATTGTTTAATTCTTTATTTTAGATATGTTATAATGAAAATTGCATGTTTATCGCACAAAAAAATAACGCAATTTTTAAGTAAAGAATAATAATTATTGCATCGATTTTTTTGTACGTCTCACAATATAAATATGAAATATAATAGTTGCCAAAATCCTTGTCACGACTTCCTTCTCAAACACAATATTTTCCCAACTACTTTTTATGATACAACCCTTTCAAACAAGTGCCAAGATTTTTTATTAATTTACATGTTGTAAAATGTTATGATGCAAATTTTTTTTTCCTTCCGATGCTCGATATTTTTCTGACATCCTTTTATCCGTTATTTTTTTCCTTATCGAAAACTTTGTTTTGGAAATTTGTTCTAGTTGATGAAATAAACAGTCTGCTTCAAAACTCAAGAAAAAATTTTGGAAAAAAAGAGTTATATTTTTTCAACAATGTAGTACAACTAACGATTTTTATGGTAAACATCAATCAAAGCAATTTCAAAGCCATTTAATATTTATTGTTCAGTATATATGTATTTTATACGACTATTTTCTATGTTTTATTCCCGACTATAATTTACATTTAAGAATATAAATAATTTACATTAAATTAAAATTATATTAATATTATTTTTTAATATTTTTTTTTTTTTTTTATATGAAGGCTTCGACAACATAGGTCATTGGCCGACATATATTTATAATAATAGATACGTCAGTTACTATAATTCGATTGAAATGTATTTGATTAAAAATAAAATATTTATGAATAGTAAAAATTATAGTTTAAGGTTTAAGCCATACATCATTAATATATTATATGTATAATCTACCTTATACCTACAAGTATTCCTGAAGTTTTTTTTATAAATTCAAATTCTTCTAAGAAAAGATTGAATTAAAACCAAATACGATTCCATGGTAACACATATATATATAGGTACTGAATTAGAATTTGTTATTTTATAATTTTCACTTATACAACTAATTATTTTAAAATGTTATGAGTTTTATAAAATAAATTCTTAAGACAATGATTTCAAACGATAAATCACAATCCCATAGAGTACGAGTTCTAAATTCGTCTCAAAGGTAATTTACATGTATAGTTTAGATCTGAAAATTATTTTTTTATTTATTATTTGAATACCAATTTCTAAGCCAGAGAAAATTATCTTCAAAATTGAGTAATATTTTATTAATATGGATTGACCTAACGATACACACGTTTCAGTGTTCTTAAAAATGAATGTACTTAAAAACCTTAATCTAAATAATTAAAAAAAAAAAAAAATGGATGTTAACTGTCAGTGTTGAAACAATAGGTCTAATAACAAATTTATTTTTAGTAAAAATGAAAATAATCACTAACGGTAAATTATAATATATGTATATTGTAATAATTTATTCCACATAAAAATATCAAAACAAATGAGCTACAGCAACTTAAATATAAATACATAATATTGTAAAAAATTTAAAAATCATCAATCAAAAATAAGACATATGATGTGATCATTTTTGATAAGTATAATTTTTTTTTAAAACTTAGAAAGAAGCATGTTATAACAAATTTAAAATTGTTGCCTTTACGATATACGTCAACTTACCGATTCGTATGGATTGAACCTGATAAATCAAATGTACCTAAAACCGATAAAAGTGTTAGTCGTAAGTGCAAATCCTAGTACAAGACATAATAATACCAATATTAATTATCACATTTTAACGAATACGAAAAAACATTTTCTTCTTTCTTCGTTGACCAGGTCAGATTTCAGATCCTTTTGTTACGTTTCGCAACAATAAGCCTCGATTCGGATACAACTGCAGCAGGAGAAATTATCCATCTATAGATTCGCTAATAGATGATAATGATAGTCCGGAAATAAATAATCTTTCGTCGACGTCACTTCAATCTAGTAGCTTGGCGTCAGATAATTTATTACCAAAAAATAAATCCTACACCGTTGTTAACATCTTATTTGACAACGTATCAGAAAAAGTAAAATAATATGATTTTAATATCTTCATGTAATCAATATGTTTACAACGTAATACCATTTTTTTCATTATAACTTACCATCTAATTCCAATGCTTATGATATTATTTTATTTGTTGCAGCATACACCTTGTCCATCGGTCGAGTTTAAGCAAATCAATGTCGTCGATCAACCCCCGGGCGCAACAAAATTTATAAACAAACGAAGCTCATTAGTAAGCAATAGTTTTTTTTTTTTTTTTAATTTGAATATTACAGCAGTAAAAATATATTGAAATTATTTAAATACTACGATAAAATGATTGAAAACGGTAGGAAAAATGGGGACGTGTGAGTAGTATTTATTTTTATTTATTTTTGCGTACCGGTCATACCACATCGTACACCTAGCATCATTATTTCACTCACTACCAACCGTTAAATTCCCATTCTTAATTTATACATACACTTAAACTATATGATTATATTAAATAATTATTTTACAGCCCCCTCCCCCCATACACACATACATTCAGAGAGAAAAAATTCTGCGTGCGTTACAGCACCTTAGTATTAACGTTCGATGTATCAATGTTCAATACATTATGATTTATTACTCGGTTAAAACGACGAGCTGTAGTGAGTGTTGGCTGGTAGACATTTTTGGTTTTAATGCAACAACTTAACATGTGCTTGGTACACAATATGCTAAGATTTATATTGATTAGGTACCATTATTAGTTTTAGAGTCTGATATTTCTTTCATTGATTAATGAGAACATTTAGTTTCGTATTATATAATTATACATACAATATGACGCAACACGTATCACTTATTAAAGTACAGAACGCAAATGTACTGGTTACTCATTTAAATTCAATTGTTATTTATGATAAAAGAAGACCTTGATGTCTGTTTAACTTGATATATACGTTCATTATAATATGTCAACGTTCGCACTTGTATTAGCTTCCTTGTGGTTTCTCTTAACTAGACCCTTAAATACATATATTCAAGTCTTTGAATATCTTTACTACTTTTTAATTAGATTATTAAATTGCTACAAGC